GAAGTGCCCCTTCTCCTTTTAATAACTACCCCTTTTTTAAACTCGGATGAGCACACCTTTCATTTTAACATGTGCCCCTCTTATTTTCGAATAAGTGCCCCTTTTCCTTATGATAAGTGCCCCCATTAAAAAGAGAGAGCTCCTTCCCCTTCTCACAACTACCCTTTCCCTTTCTTATAAGTGTCCCTTTTCCTTATGATAAGTGCCCCATTAAAAAGAAAGAGCTCCTTCCCCTTCTCATAACTGCCCCTTTTAAAAATCTGAACAGTGCCCCCTTTTCATTCACCAAATGCACATTTTCCTTTATTATAAGTGCCCCTTTTACATTTTCATAAGTGCCCCTTTTCATATCTGGTCAGTGCCCCTTTCAATTCTGATAATTCCCCTTTTAATAATGATACGTGCCCCTTTTCCTTTCTAATAAGGGACCTATCCCCTTTTCACCTCTTATAAATGCCCTTATCAAAATCTGATGGGTGTCCCTTTTCCGTCAACAAATGCCTATTTCCCATTTTCGTAAATGCCTCTTTTTCATCACTGGTGAGTGCCTCTTTTCAGGTGAAAAAAATGCCTCATTTTCACCCTTATAATTATCCTTTGTACTTTGACACGTGCTCCTTTTCTTTTCTAATAAGTGTCTTATCCCTTTCGATAATTGTCCCCTTTTCATGTAATCATTAAACGTGCCCCTTATTTAAAGCGACTAAGAGCAATTTCCCCCAAAGTTCGCTCGCTGCGCTCGCTCGCATTTAAAGATGATATAATTATGTTACTTATCAAAGGTCTTTTCAGTCTTCCGTTATGAGAATGTGCTTATAACCCCATCACGATTGGCTTTTTTCCTCTCTATAAGATGTCATTTTTTCACACTGCGACCTCACAGATCTTTAAAAAATTTCTCGCTCGCTTCGATCGTTCGTAAATGCATATTCAGACACCACACTCAGCTGTAAAGTATGATGCTTAAGCGATATCTTGTATGATGTATGAAGAGAAACAAATATTGAAATCATCCCTGATAATGTAATCACAATGTAGGGGTATATACCAATGTCTAAAAAATTGTATATTTTCGCTTTGAGATTCCCACTGTAGGTGCCCTTTTTTTCCAGAAAGTGCCCTTTTTGTTGGTGCCCCCCCCCCCAATTTGGAAGTCGCTCGGCCGCCCCTGTAACACGTGTCAACTTTTGAAACCTATTATCTAATAGTACATGTGATATTCCATAGCCCGTTTCTTTCTGCGTCCACCCAGGAGTCTACAATTTATTTAGTTGGTTTTTAATTATATATATATATATAAATGGGACGGTTTACCAGTTTTGCAAAGGACTCAAAGTCGTAAAGGGGTCTTTCCTTGTTATTCTTTCAAACTTCGATAATCATATATCCCCAATAGGAAGTTAGTTGTAAGAGTAGCCAATAGGCCAAGGCCGGGCATACTTCAACTGATTGATTGATTGATTTTTATTCGACAAGCTTCCAACATACAACAATGTACAATAATAACAGATCAAAAATAAGTCAGCTTGAACAGGATAACCCACGAAAGCTCGAGAGCTTATTTCCAGTGCATGGGGTCCCTTACTTATTAAAGATAATAATAATAATAACAACATTAAACTGATGATAGAAATGATATTAAGTACAGGGGCGGATCTAGCTTTTTGCTAAGGGGGGGGGTTGACCAAAATAATGACGATGCGGAGCATCGTCCACGAGCCGCAAAGCGGCGAGCCGATTTTTTGGGGGGGTGTTTATTTGAACCCCGTAAGTGATGTTTTCCTGGCATCTATTAACACAATGGAGATCATAAAAAGCTGTAAAAAAAGATGCGAGACTGGATTGCCGCAACTTCTTTGCCCTGTTTGCTTCCATATTGCTTGTCACTACACTCAGACCAGACTGATAAAAAAGTGAGCAACTTGAACAAGTAATCCAGGAAATGAGCAGCCCAGCTCAGCGTGCGTTGCCAGGTTAAATCTTCACAAAATCCCCACCCAAACGACACTTAAAATATCCCCAAAGTTGCCAAATTTTGACAGAAAATCCCCAAATTCGTTTTTCATAAAACTCAATATTATTTCATTCCCAAATATTTATTTTTCATCCCCAAAGACTTCAACAATCCCCCAATTTTTTTATTTTTTTTTAATGTGGGGATTTTGGGGATGAGAATCGGCAACGCTGGCCTAGCTTGTCACTTCGGCGGTGGCCCGTGTCCTCAAAAAAGCTGATGGGGGGGGGGGCAAGGGACTCTGTGACATTTGTTCGCCCAACCCCCCCCCCTCCCCCCAAAAGAAATAATAATAATAATAATAACAATAATAATAATAATAATAATAATAATAATAATAATAATAAATGAAATAAATACATAGAAATAGAATAAAATAAAATTACAAGTTTTAAAAAAAGATAAGATTTAAAAAAATGGTCCCCGGATTTATTTGGGGGGGTTGCAAACCCCCAACCCCCCCCCCCCCTCTAGATCCGCTTCTGAAGTACAAGAAGAAAAAGAGGAGAACTGTATACCTCCCATTTCCCAATGATGGTCAAGTCGACAGTTTTGCGGGGGTATTCCGTTACTGACGACAGGGAATTTCCAAAATCAATTTAGACAACTTAATAATAACCGTCAATAATAAATGTTGCTGCAAACAACATGCTTTTGAGACATAGGCTATAACATTTTGTATGTTGTCACATCCCAAATCCCCATTCCTACCCAATTATACACAAACACACAAGCAACGCGCGCGCACACATTTCTATTTTATTTTGAATAACCATGTAGCTGTTGTGAACTATTCGTCATTTTTATCATCGCCATTAAGGTTTGATTTCGGTTTGATGTTCCGAATCAATGGTGCATCAAAACCTGTTCTTTCATTCCAAAGTGTATATAGAATGGTATTGTTATGGGCCTAACAATAGTGTTTTTGAACAACAACCAAAAGGAACAAAAAATGAGAAGGGGGGGGGCATCAATGCTGTTTTCATGGAGAGATATGATAATGTCGCTAATTTCTAGGACATTCTAAAAATAGTGGGAGGGGGCCAGGAGAGCGACAGCCAAGCAGACTAGACTGACGATCCACTAAACCGTTCATGTATAGGTCTTGTAAACCCTTAGAAAAATTGTTAGAAGGGCAATGACACGGGCATGTCGGAGGACTGTCGATCTCGTAAGCCTTTAAGTCATCATTTGGCTGGTCCATGCATATTAACTATCATACATGTATTATAGAGATTATTATAGTGATAACCGTATCCCACATATCAAGAAGAAACGTGGATTGCTTACAATTATTATAACTCATGTCTATCATCACATGCATCTTTCATTACGCTTGCAAGTGCCTAAATTAGCAGACCCGGGGGCAGATCCCACCCCTGCCCCCCCCCCCAAAAAAATATGTTTTTTAGTTTAAAAAAATAAAATTTCAATTCCACTTAAAAAAAAAGAAGAATAAGAAAACGGGCTCCCATGCATCCCTGGCTAAATTTATATTTAAACAAAGTACTTTTTGGCCCCAGGTAGTAGGGGGGGGGGGCGTGTTGAGTAAACACAAAATAGTGCCCCCCCCCCCCCCCCCCCCCCGCTTATTCACCGGCTGGCTGATTTGCCGCTAAATATTTTCTACTAATATTGTTAGGCCCATAACAATATCATTATATACACTTTAGAATTCAAAAAACGAATTTGATGCACCATTGAGTCGGAAAATTAAAAAATTAAACCGGCATCCCGAAATCAGAATTGACGAATAGAGGTTCAGCTATGGTTATTCAAAATAAAATAAAAATGTGTTCGCTTGTGTGTTTGTGTATAATTGGGCAGGAATGGGGATTTGGGATGTGACAACACACAAAATGTTATAGCCTATGTCTCAAAAGCATGTTGTTTGCAGCAACATATTTTGACGGTTAGTATTAGGTTGTCTAAATTGATTTTGGAAATCCCTGTCGTCGGCAACGGAATATTAATATGACAACTCAACTTAAAATGTACACTTGACCCTCATTGGGAGGTATGCGGTTGAAGTATGCTCGGCCTATAATTAAGCTAGCCCTTATGGACAATCACAATGTTCACATCGTTGTCACAGTAAGTTTCAGACCATGTGGTTTACCCAGTGGCGTACGCAGAATTTTTCCAAGGGGGGGGGGGGGGGTTAAAATCGGGCCAAAATTTTCGCAACGACTCAGCCAGCCGCTGAATAAGCGGGGGGGGGGGGGTAAGAGGACATGGCGTCCCAAAAAATCGCAACGACTCAACCAGCCGCTGAATAAGCGGGGGGGGGGGGGGGGGTTCCCCCCAAAAAGACACAAAACATACACATTAAAACAATTCAACGGGGGTTAGCCCCCCCCCCCCCCCCCCTGTGTACGCGCCTGGGTTTACCACATAATATCCACATAAACTGACATACTAAACTCAGAGTACCACATATTTACCACAGTGGTATATGTATTGAAATATGTGTTAACTCTGTGGTCACAGTATTGTCACAGTGTGGGGTTCAGATCATGTGGTTTACCACATAGTCGTACATATTTAACACAGAGTGACACATTATACCACAGTGTGGTACGGAACTGTGTGTAAACTCTGTGTTCACAGTATTGTCACAGTGTGGGGTTCAAATCATGTGGTTTACCACATAGTTGTACATATTTAATACAGAGTGACACATGTTTACCACAACCAACAACAAAAAAGAAAAGCAGCTAGTAAAGGAATAATAATGATGATGTAATTTTCATCGTCTATTTGCTCTATGGCTCATTTATTCTATAAATTCCCACTAGTTTTGGCTATAAATGCCCATTAGTCTATATTATTCATAGATATACAATAAACATTTAGTCATAAATATTAATAATGATTTAATGAATTAACCTTATTTGCATGGGAGAAATAGGCATTAGCCAAACTGGGGATTAGAACACTTAAAAAAAAAACATGTATTAATAACTTAACTTCACCATACTTTTCGCGTGTTAGCGTAGCTAGCTAGCTATAATTGATCGATAATTTCAACTCTTTCTGAGGTGACATCTGCCCAAATTTTGCTACAAATCAGGGTTATTCGTCTCATTTGGTAAGCCGAATTTCAAATTAATGAAGGTGAAAAATCAAATGTTGATGCTATGAATTGTAAATGGCTTAAAGGGATTTATTTGACTGTTTCTGGATGACGGTAAACTACAATTAATTTAGGTCGTATCGTCTGTACAGTCCCACGCTATTGTATATTTTGTTGTTTAGCTGTGCTGTGGCGGGTCGCGTCTTTTTTTTAACCTAACCTTGCCGGCGCGGCGCTTGTTCAGAAACCTATCCAAAATTTGACCCGTAACACCGGCGTGGGGATGCCCTTCTAAAACATACCCAAAATGAAGTAAATATTCATGAAATGTCCAAATAAAGATCATGAGTTAAAATTTGTTATGTGTAGACTTGATACCTGTTTCGTATCAATTTTCATGATATTTTTGGAGTATTTTTCGGAAAAATGTTGATATTACAAGTCTAGATCTAACAATAGTTAGAGGTCTAGATCTATACACTTTTTCACAGGTTTCACTGAAAACCGCTGCACAATTCAATTAGCCTACATACCGATGGTGGGTTGCGGGCGGGCGCGCGCCTGTGTGAAGTTATCTACCGTAATGAGGATCTGAGACATTACGGTTACATTATTTTCTTTCAGACCAATCACCATGTCTATCGCAGCTCGTCAGACGGCAATCAGCTGTCCAGGCCACACCCGACCTGTCGTTGACCTCTCCTTCAGCGAGATCACACTCGAGCATGGCTACTTCATGATCAGTGCTTGTAAAGGTGAGTCTTAAGCCAGGTTGGTGTTTCACAAAGGCTAAGATCAACTTTAAGTTGGACTTAACTACATGTATGACAGGCCGTTCATGCCATTGTTTGCTCTCACCATTTACTGGCATTGGTCTCTCAAGAGACGTACAAACCGTGGTCACAAATCTACAGAATTTACATTTTTTGATAATTCAATAAAGTAGAAAAAATATTATCTGAAGATCATAATTGAGAAACCATTGGTGACAGCAACCAGTGGCATGAATGGCCTGCCATAGTTAAGTCCAACTTAAAGTCGATCTTAGTCTTTGTGAAACACTCCCCAGTTCTCAGAAAACTGGTAAGGCCGGGATAAAATACCCTTATTGCCTTTCCAAGAAGTTGAAAATACATTTACTATTTATGCTCAGGGCATTTGAATCACTCTCGAAAGAATCTATCTTCACCATTGAAGCCTTCAAAGATGTACGTACTGTAAGTTAAAAGCCCCTCTGAAGTGTTGGGAGCCCCAAATTCGCCAAAATTTGATAGCCAAATTTTACTTAAATTGTATCATAATATGAACAAGGATGTCATTTAAGACACACTTCTACACTTATTCTTTGGGGTTAGTTCCCCTTTAATCGATTAATCAATTAATTATGTTTATCACTATTTCAGATGGCCAGCCGATGCTAAGGCAAGGTGAGACTGGGGATTGGATTGGAACCTTTAGTGGCCACAAGGGGGCGGTGTGGGGTGCGGCTCTGAACAGAGAAGCTAAACTGGCCGCGACAGCTGCTGCTGACTTCTCTGCGTAAGTCGTAGTGCTTTAATGGTGTTTTGTGACAATCTGGGGGGTGTTTTTCAAAGATCCTAAGTCAAACTTAACTCTAAGTTGGACTTAAACGTTATGGAGAGCCATTTGAAGCCTTAAAAATGAATTATTCAAAGGCAAAAATTCAAGTGTTTTAGACTTTTCATAAATTCCATATCAAGAACATGAAAAGATCCTTGATAATAGAAAATATGAATTATTTGAATAAACTTTTGATGCCCTTTAAAATAACTTTTACAAAATATTTTCAAAGATGCTAACGGCTTTCCATAATTGTTAAGTCCAACTTAGAGATAAGTTCAACTTAGGATCTTTGTGAAACATCTCCAAGGTTAGAAAGAGAAGAAGGGTAACAAATATTTCTTAACGTTAGAATTCAAATGCAAGGGAAACGTGTCCTTTTACATATTGAAAATATATTCTTAAGTGTTCTCCGAACCACCATTTAATCTTCCTCCTTTTTTGGGAATTTCCCTGTCTCATCCCTGGTGCAGATTGATTGAAATAACTTCACCTCCAAACCCGTACAGTGTTAATTCATATGAATGGTGGTGGTTATTTGACCTGCCTGCTAAGAAAGCATAAATGCTTGTAAGTAAAGCCTCGGTCACAAATGCCATTACGAACTGCTACGAACGCCGTACAAACGATTTTCAAACAATGGAAATTGGGGAAGACAATGGAAAAACAGGGAGATTCGTATGAAATTATCGTTCGTACGAACCTTTGTGACCGTAGCATATGCAACCAGACTGAAGGATTTTGTGTGTATTATTGGTGTACATGAGGAAGGGGGAAAACTATTATTATTTTCAACTTGAAAACCCCTCAAACCCCGATTTGTAGCAGGGTATAGCTGGAGAGTCTCTGAATAAGCTAAGCTGGAAATAGTAAGTCAATTAAATCCTCCTTAAATTGATTTGGTGTTCCTTTTTTACACCGTTGCGGCAGTTCATTTTCGACATACTCCCACATATGTTCTGGACTTTACCTGTGAGTGTGAGCATGATGGCTGCATATTGCTCTGTTTTATACCACACAAACTACCACTATTGCTCACAGTTCTGTATTTTTGTTACCCCCACAAAATACTACCTGCTATTCATTTACATATTCGATTTACATCACTGTGTCTTTGTTCTTTTTATTCCACCATTCAGGAAAGTATGGGATGCTGTATCTGGTGAAGCCCTGCATGACTTCTCTCACAAACACATTGTCAAATCTGTGGATTTTTCATCAGTAAGTTTAATAGTTGATTCTTCTTTTTTGAATTCTTTAATAAACATTGCATTCTACTTTATTTGAACAAACAATAAGCACAATCTTAATTTGTGTTTTCGAAAAAGAAATACACTGAATGTTGGGACCAGTTTGTATTCTTGCGATGTGCTTATACTTGTACTTGTATATTGTAGCATTATTTAAGAAATGTTTATTAAATTTCATGTGATAAGTCATTTGAATGTTTATCTTTTGATTGTTTTTTAGTTTGTTTCCTTATTATTCTGGGTTTGTTTGAGTGTCTATGTGTGGCAACTGACGCGAATACTCCTCACTGAACAGAGTAGATTGGCAATGGAATCCAACAACCTTTGTAATAATACACTGGAAACAATTTTATCATCAGGGTAAACCAAGTTCATTCAAATTTGATGCATCCTTGTTAAAAAAAATGCCCTTGATGACCCTAAGACTTGCCTAAGACCTGACAACTCAAAAGCTAACTTGCAAGATTCAATAGGCCAGTTCATAGTTGCAGTCTGAGCATGAGCAGATAAAAGGTCATTGCAGACCAAATTGTTAAATCCAACTTAGAGATAAGTTCAACTTAGGATCTTTGTGAAACACCCCCTGATGTGTCCAGTTTAAGAGACATGAGTGCTATACCCACTATGATGATTATGAAATGGAGCAAATGCAAACATCCAGAGCTTTGAATTCATTTGCACAAGTCTACTAGAAGAGGCATTATCTAAAATCTAAAAACTCATCTATTCCAAATTTACAAATTTTGATTCCAAAAACCACCTAAATAACTATAAAATAAGTTTGAATTTGTATTACGATGCCTACATTATGTCCTTTGTTAAATTGTTGCTATTATGTTAACTTTCCCAGGAATTTATATATTATGTTAATTTCTTTAGTAATGTTTAATCTTCTTGGCAATTTAAGTAATGTTAATTTGTTCAGTTATATTAGTAATATCTTATTTTCTGGGTAATTGAAGTAATGTTAATTCCATTAGTAATATTGATTTTTCTTGAAGTAATCTTGATTTGTAGTGTACAGCGCTTTGAAATTTTTATGTCACAAACGCTATATAAATTGTTCATATTATTATTATTATTATAGGATAGCTGTAAGCTTTTGACAGCAAGCAACGAGAAGCTCTTGAGGATATTTGACCTGAACGCCCCCGAGGCAGACCCAGTCGTATTCAGTGGACACGAAGACAACATCAAACACGCCCGCTTCCTGCCTGACGAAAGGTCCATCGTCAGCTGCTCCGATGACAAAACTCTCAGGTTTGTACTTGATTGTAAACACCGATATAGTGACAAAGATCAAAGATGAATTTAGGTTCATTGCAATTTTTTTACCCTCAAGACTCTTAATAAATAGTAAATTTACCAATTGTTCTGGGCCTCGTCCCATAAAAAGTTGTGATGGATTCAGATTAATCGCAACTCCTGGGGCCCGTTCCTCGAAACCATCATAAGTCTAACTTCTTGACTATCCCATTGAAACACATGTTAATTCCATAACACATGTTTCAATGGGATAGTCAAGAAGTTAGACGTATGACGGTTTCGAGGAACGGGCTCCTGGCTCTTAAAGTTGCTCATGCGTGGGTATATAGAGGGCAGCACACGGACATACGCACAGGAACGTAATACCTGTTGGCTCAGTGTTATGTAGTGATCGCCAAGTTGCCTACTTCACCAATGACTAAATACCCATGCATGAACATCTTTCAGTTCACAGTTGCGATTAATTTCAAATTGCGATTGATTTGAATCAATAGTTTTTAGGTTGACAACTTCTGATTTTCATAGCTTTAGATTTTGAGTTTTCAGAGAGCTGTTACTCCTCTGACTGACACTGAAATGATATATAATTGATATTATCCCAAACGATGGCTTATAATCTATCTGTCGATATGTATAATTGATCCATTTTTTTGTTCACTTTCGACAGGGTCTTTAACTTTGGGCATTTATCGTTATATTTTTTCCTTTGTTTACTCTCCAGGATATGGGACATCGCGTCAAACTCCGAGGTGAGAAAGATTCCTCTCAGTTCCAGCAATTCTAGCCTAGACTTGGTCAGCGATGGCTCTACGCTGGTCGTTACTCATGGCAAGAACATATCTTTCTACAGCGCAGACAGGTAAAGAGATTCAAACCCATTATGTGCATGATGAATACAGTGAAACCTGTATATGAAGACTGCTCATTTCAGACAAGAAAAGTAGCCTTTATGGGCAGGTAGTCTTTATGTACAGGTTGTTTTTATATATATCAGTAGTGGAACCTGTATATATAAAGACCATTCAAGAGAAACATGAAAAGTGGTCTTTAGTACCGGTTTCTTTAGTACATGTTTCAAAATGAGAAACCTTATTCAAGAAATATGAAAAATGTAGTCTTTATAGACAGGTGGTCTCTAAAGCAGGTTTGACTGTAGTGCACATTTAAAAGTGATGCTAGGCTTGGCATGGCTCCATCTACGGCTGAGCTGCATGGGCTGTTATCATACTAACATTTTTGTCATTTAAAGATGAAGTTGAGTTCTGGTCATGCGATTGCATTGTGAAAGAAACGGTGTGGAATCGACCAGGAAAGGTTGATCATCTAGCATATAAGAATTTGTGTGTATTGCAAGGTTCTGGAATCATCAAAATGATAAGAAATTTGGCCAAGTCTTGGTAAAGTTACAAACACTGTACACAGAAAGATGTATACGGGACTACACAAACACATGGCGTAAAAATCCTACCCCGGATTTTTACGATTTTACATGACATATTTAGAATATGAAGGCATTTGAAGAGCCATGCTTTTCAGGGAACATGTCTTATCTGATGTTCTTCCACACTTGCATAATAAGAATGATAACGCTCACAAATTATTTTTCACCTCTTCCCAGAACTCAACCTTCTCTTTAAAATGAAATGTGGAGACACCTCAAAGAGAGTACTAAGAAAGTAAAGAAGATTTTTGAGACAGACAAGAAAAGTGACCTTTGTAGGAAGATGGTCTTTATGTACAGTTTCCTTCAGTATACATTTAAGATAGAAATATAATTTAACAGAAATAGAAAATGGGGTCTTTAAAGACAGGTGGCTGATAAAGGAGGTTTCATTGTAAATTTTTTGCCCCTAACCCATATACCCTCATTTCTCTTCTCTATGACTTCTACCTTTGCTTTTTCTTCTTTCTTTTCCTTCGGACGGAAAATTAGTCTATTTGTTGATATTAATCATGTTAATTATGATTGACATTTACCATTCCAAACCGTGTATCATTATTTTATTCCTTATAATTTGATGGTATAGTATTGTTTTGTATTGTCATACATGTATGCATTTTGTTTCAATTGAGTTGGAGTTAGTTTAGTCTTGTGATTAAAGTATTATATTAGAGATCTAGGTCTTGATTTGATATATTTCTATACTTCTTTAATTTTTCATACTAGATTTGAGGAGATCAAGAAATACAGCACAGAGACGGCCATGTACTCTGCCTCGCTCAGTCCCGATAAGAAGACGTTTGTTTCTGGAGGGGAAGACTTTAAGATCTACCGGTTCTCATATGAAGACGGCAAAGAGGAAGGTGAGTACACAGAATTTGTTTTGATTCTTGCTCTCCCAATCAATCACATCCGTCTAGCAATTAAACGAGGGGTCATCACTCACTGGGGGCTTGTACCCCTCCCCCCTCCCCTCCCCCACTCCACCTCCTAGAAATTTGGTGCCTAGTTTAACACTGCTCCACAATTTTATATGTGGTTTCCCCCTCCCCCTCCTCTAGAAATGCTGCGTCAAGTTTAACACTGCTTTCCAATTGCTAATGCCTCCCCAAGAAAAGCATTGACCTTATTTGTGCAGACTCCCCTTCCACTGAAAAATTGTGGCTACACCGGAGTGTGCCTCTCCCCCCCCCCCCCTTATTTGGTTACACAAGAAATAAACAGTCTGGAAAGGGAAGACTTCAATTTTGTCAGGATTTTCATATGAGCTGGGCAAGGAAGAAAGTTAGTACACTGCATCACCGGTCTACCCTCCCTTCCACCCCTTAAACCTCCTATATTTCTCTTCCCTAAGATTCCACCCCCTGATGTTGTTACATGCCATATTAAGAATATGAAGTCATTTCAAGAGCCATGCTATTCAGGGAACACTTTGTATCTGATGTTCTTTCACATTTGGATAATGCAATGATAATGCTCTCAAATGATTTTTCACCTCTTCCCAGAACTCAACCTTCTCTTTGAAATACACTTGATTCAATAATACTTGTTCACTCTTACTCTTTATATTCTCCACACTTCTCCCAGCTTCGTACAAGGGTCACTTCGGTCCGGTCCACTGCGTGCGTTTCTCGCCCGATGGCGAGATGTATGCCAGTGGCTCGGAGGACGGAACCCTGCGGCTCTGGCAGACCAACATCGGCAAGACCTACGGTCTCTGGAAGTGGATCGACGACAGCGAAGCGGAAGGCGTCCCAGTGTGTAATGTCGCAAACGAGGCTATGTCGCCCCCAACGGTTGTCAAGGCCGAGAGCTAACTGATCGTCTCCATGCCGATTTAGTTGATGTCCTATACAGTCAAACCTGTCTATAGCAACCGCCCAAGGGAAATACAAAAAATGGTCTTTGAAGACAGGTGGTCTTTGTAAACAGGTTCCCGTAGTACACATTTCAATGAGAAACCACTTTCAAGGGAAACAAAAAATGTGGTCTTCGTAAACAGGTGGTCACTAAAGCAGGTTTGACTGTATAATTTGCATGGCGTAAGCTTTCGTCGCAACGTAGAAGGTCTGCTGATGATAAATCCCTCCAAGAGCACTTTGGACATTATGGTTTTGTGGCATTTGATAAAACTGAGGAACAAGAGACAACCAGAGGGAACTGGCCATGTCTATTATTTTCAAGTGAATCCAGTTATATCGAGGGGTCAGTGACACAAAGATGTAAATCCTTTTTGGCCATTTTGAGAAAAAGGGGTTTATGTTTCAATGAGCACTTGGGCCTTTATTAAGGAGTTAAGTCTATGTTTCACCAGCCATTGACTTCAATGTGGTGTTGGGTGGAGTTAAGCCTTTTTTTTTCTTTGGAAAGCCCACATTTTTCTGAACATTTTGATATCAAATACTGATTATGGCAACATATTGAGTTACATCTTTGTGTCACTGAACCCTCGATATGTTGAACTTGATGGAGAGAAAGAGAGGAGTTGTATTTCTAAGGAAACATTAAATTGTCTAAATTATTTCATTTTGGTCAAGCGTGTCATCCGGAATGCTGGCAGCATTGGGAATTACCAGTACTCCAGAAATTCCACTGCTGGCCAAAGCGAAAGAATCAAAATATATGTTTGTGTTTCAACACCTGTGAGCTTCAAAAGCTTGCTTTTATTTGACTTATCAACGTAAAACCCATTTCGATTTCTAATCAGTGTAATATTTTAAGACATATGCATTCTACCACTCTGTTGTTACGTTGCTCAAAACAATTTCTGCTTGTGAATGTCCACTTGTATTTCTATGTATTTCTATTGAAGTCAATGTGACAAGCACGTTATCACTTGATTGTATTTACGTACAGGTACAGTATGTGCTTTTTTTGTACTTGAGCGCAAGCCAGCGTTTCAATGTCTAAAACAGACTGAGGAATTTATTTATTTGTGGTATGTCCTACGTGAAACTGGAATACTGTTGTTCAGGAAATAGTCTGTACTATACTAGGCATTGACGATACTGATAGAATGCATTTCATGATATACCTTTGTATGTACATGTAAATTTATTTTACCAATGTAAATGTAAATTTATTTACTGATGTACGTGTAATTCTTCTTTTACCAAAAGAATGCTACAGGGAAAAAAAGTGACTCTGTCATACTTTTTAATTTTGTCTGTTACCCAAAAAAATCTGATTGCCAATACAATCTGCAACCAATCTGCTGCACTGCATACAGGCACCCAGATTCTCAGTATGGACCCCCTTCAAAAAAAGTTAGTGTGGAATCATTAATTGTTAATTGTTCTGCCATGTGTGAAGGTGTGCAAAGACAATGTACAGTACCGTTACGTATTTTGGTCCTACCACCTCCCCCCACAAAAAATAAAATAGGCAAAAAGTAATGATAATTGTAATACCATTCCATATAATTAACATAATCTAGGGAAGGGATTATGCACTATGGAATTGGCAACTCAAATTGCTGTTTAAAACTTTTAATTGCTATTTTTCAAAAATTGTGTATAGTATTGAAAAATAAAATTGTCTTTTACTGTTTTTTCCCAGAGAGATGCCGGCTCTGTATTGTCACTATGAATGTGCATTAAAAAGTTATTCAATATTGATATGTTATAAAGAAACAGACTTGATTTTTATTTTACCCGACTGCTGAGAAAGCATATGTGTGCTTGTATAAAGTAAGCAACCAGGGGCCGGAAGCGGCTTGAAGTCCTCTCTGAGGGGCTTGGGAATCGGGATTAATGCCTTACCAAAGGGCGCTAGAGCAGTGACTTGGTTTCAAACCCAGGCCCTTCCGGTTACCAGACCACTGCTCTACCCCTGAGCCATCGCACCTCCTCGATGCTCTTTTACTTTTAATTTTACTTCTTCATTTATTCTTCTGTTTTTTCATTTTTCCCCCTTTATTTATTCATCATTTATTTGTTTATTTATTTATACATTCATTTATTAATTTGAATATTTATTCATTCATTTCTCATTCTCTTACGCATTTTCTTCTTCCCTTCGTCTATCCATATATACCCCTCCTTTCTATCTCTCTTCCTCAGTCTCACACATACCCATTTCTCTCTCTCTCTCATATACCCCCTTTTCTCTCTCTCTCACATATACCCCCTTTTCGCTCTCTCTCACATATACCCCCTTTTCTCTCGCTCTCACATATACCCCCATTTCACTCGCTCTCACATATACCCCCTTTTCTCTCTCTCTCACATATACCCTCTTTTCTCTTGCTCTCACATATACCCCCATTTCTCTCTCTCTCTCATATACCCTCTTTTCACTCTCTCTCACATATACCCCCATTTCTCTCTCTCTCACATATACCCCCATTTCTCTCTCTCTCACATATACACCCTTTTCTCTCGCTCTCACATATACCCTCTTTTCTCTCTCTCTCTCACATATCGTCGGCGGTCTTACGAACCGGCGAATAGCCTCCCAGTGCGCGTAAACATAGTTTCGAGAAAAACGCATTTAAAGTTTTAGCCCTTTTTAAACGATGATTTAATTATGATTCTGGTTAATATTTCCGAACAATATTTACACAGCAAAAACGTGTGGGATCTGCCCTACAATATCATATATGTATCAATTTATATCTTTATAAAATAATCGAGTTATAAGCCGAGAAAACCTTATTCGACGGTTCGTAAAAACGAAAAGTTATCCAACGCGTTCACGTTATACGCTATTCGACGCTTATTCAGCGCTTGTAAGAACGAACAGCTTGTACGCGCGGTCAGTGAATACCTATTCGACGCCTATTCGCCGGTTCGTAAGAACGAACGCTGTGTGGCTATAACACGCGCGTCTATGTGGGTCAACAAACTTTGTGATTCGCAGTACGTGTATAAATGCTTGTTTACTTATTACAGAAAGAAAACATTGTTTGGGGAATAATTTCATCAAATCGAAGTGAAATGGCAAATAATTATCAATGTGTGTAATATATATAATGATGGTGTATTCATAAATATACGGAACATCATTTTTTATTAAAATTCACCATCGTCCTGAGATATGTACAGGCTCATTTACAATTGTCTTTTCTTCTCACCCCCCCCCCCCCCTCTCTATCTCTCTCTTCCCCCAACCCTAATTCTGATTTCTGTCTGACCACTGTATTACCTTTTTTTTCTTCCTTATTCATCCAATTTTTTTAATCATGCTTTGTTTAAGTCTCCATTGTAGCTCATTCAGTAATATATTTGAATTAAGTATACACATTTCATTCACATAATAATAATAGGCATTTGTATGGCACCGTCTATCTTGAAGTTCTAGTCCCAGGTGTACAAGGGAAGAAAAGGTGATACTAAGGAGTCCAACATGCTCCCATTTCTTTCTCATCATATCTATTCTCCCAAATCCACTTTCATCCTCTCTCACACGCCTGTTTTAAGATATATGAACATCACTTTCAAATAAACGAGACAAAGTGAACACAAAAGTATACACAGGAAGTCTGTTTATTTCAAAATTTCAATAAAAGTCAATTTCACAATCATATTCTTTTCAATCCACCTATTCATATTTAATTTTAAATAGGTTTATTTTATAATAATAATCATATCGTTTTCAATCCATCAATGTATACCTATTTCATAAGGATCCATTAACATTTGATAAAGACATGAATATAAGTACTTCAATCTCCAGATTTAATCAATTTAAATCAATACCATATATTCAAGAAGTTTGGAGACACATAATTTAGAAAAACATATTCCTAAATGTCTAGTATTCTGTTTTCAGTTTTGATTCAATATTTACAAGTATGTGAATATGAATTTGTGTTTATAGAATTGAAGCCAGAATGAAGTTACAGCATTTCTATAAAACATCCTTTCTTTATCTGCATTTTCATATCAAGATTAGTTTCATCACCGAAAGAAAATCTTTTAATACTATATTGAAAAATATTTCCTTATTTATGATGCTCCTTTTATCACAAATTTGATAATAGCCACCATCATTTGCTAAATGCGTGACTGCATACTCCAAAATTCTAGTATAATTTGACTTTAATTCAATTAAACATAATATTAAGTCAGAAATACATATAGCACGCTATACATGAGACAAACGATTCAGCATAAAATGTGCATGAAAAAGAGAAAGAAAATACACAGCAATAGAAGACAGCATACTTTTTTAAATCAGATTTTGAATAGTTGGAGATAAAGAAAAAGCAGATAATAAGAAGATTGGAAGAAAAGAAGAATCAAAGCAAAGTATGTAGAGACATGTATACAAGAGAGTGAGAATTAATTCAGAAAAGAGGAATAGGAGAGGAAAAACAAAGTACAGAAATAGGGAGAAGGACAGAGCAGAAGAATTTTCGTTTTCAAAGATAACAGGGAGGGAAAAATATTATTTAAAAAAGATAATGAAAATAAGAGGATGAGGGGTGGAAACAGGCAAGACGTGAATTTGATACATATTGATATCAATGAGTTAATAAAATTAATTTACCAAACTCAACAGACTTCTTTAATTTTAGCATATTTACAGATGACTATATTTCAAATATTCAATACTAACTGGTTATATGGAAGAAACCTCTTCTGTTGAAATTAATAATCATTAGTCCTTTAGTTTCAAAGAACTTCAAATCATGAATAAGTATGTACATAAAAAGTATTTTGTTTTAAACAAAGACACTTTCATCCCCAGTATATCTCTTTTAGCCCATTTAGAACACCATCCAAGCTTTTGTTTCAAAAGTTAGAAATATAAGATGCTTATAAAAATGCAGAACCTTTCCACTAACTTTTGTATATGACTTGTAAAGTACCTACCTCCGCACTTTATAATCAAATATTATTATAATCTAAAACAGCATCATTATGAGACAAGAGGGAAAATGATCGGATTGCTATGTTTACCAAAATGTGGATGAATGTATGGCTAATTTCCAATATCCTTTGATAGAGTATATGAAAATACGGTAAGTAAAAGAAACACAAGATTAGCTTTCAGTAAACTTCAAATGTAAAGCAAATGTATTTGCTTTCAAACTATGTTTTTGTATCAAATATTGTACTTCTAATAATAAAAAGGAACAGACAAAGAAAAAATGTATATTAGTCTCCATTTTGCCTTTTTTTAACCTTTAATTGAAGCGTACTCTTTTTGGTTTAAGCAGTTCAAATGGTTCAATTTCTACTAGCAACTGTGTTACCCTTTGACTCTATTAGCACTCTAAGCAACTGCATTGTGTCCAAGCTCACCTGACATACATTTAGCTATTGAATCATTCCTTCCATTTATGTCAACCCAAACAATCTTAAGACTTCAGCAAATCAATAGCTATGTATCTTTGTCCAAAGACTGAATAACCTAGCTGTTCACATTAATTCAATCACCTGAATACCACAGAGAAAATCAGACCTAAATGTATATACATAGCTTTCCTAACAATACCGTTCAATGAGTTTATTCAATCTGAAAGTAGAAAACATTATGTATGATGCAGGGAAAATAAATCATTATCACCAATACCTACACCAAACTACACTCAAAGTTCTTTAGCCATGCATGATAAGACAGTCAGAAGAATATTAAAAAGAGTTTTCTGAAGAGAAATCTGACACTGAATCTGCAGAAACAAACATCTTTGGTAATAAAAAGTCCAAGACTTCAAGACTCAGGGGCTATTAAAGTAGGTCCATCAAACCTAAAACGTTGATGCTAATTAACAATTCTTTATATACTTACATGTCAATCATTACACAATAAAGTAGACCATCCCTGCTTCCTGAAACACAAAATAAAAATGTTAGCATAAAGACAAATAATCAAAAAAAGGTGCCAATTAGCCATCAGTCATGTGACCATTAGGCCTACCAATCAGATTACTCAGCTATGGGGGAGATTTGTGTAGAAGTCCACAAGTTCTGCCTGAGAAACCACCGGGGCTCATCCCCCCACTGTCACTGTCTTCATCCATGGGCTCCTGCTCTTTCTCAATCATCACAAATGTGCCTCGCCATATGCCGTCAGGCCACTTCATCTGCTGCCCTCCAGAATTTTAGGTCCGCCATGCTGACAGCATGTGTACTCTCATCCTTGTCCGAATGGGCACTGCGATCTCTGCTCCCTTCCATCGTCAGCCTCTACATTTTTAAGGAGAGAGAAAAAGATAAAGAGAATACATGTGTCACAATTTAGAGTCACTTAATGCATTATTCCCACCTACTATTCTCTTATTGCTTTAAAGTTAGATACCAAAAGTGTTTTACATATTTCACATACATAAGGCAAAGTTATCCTCAGTGAACTCTTATCCTCAATGAACTCTTATCAACAATATATTGCAACATCAATAAATATAAAACAAGAAATTCCAATAAAATGTATGTACCTTTTTATATTTTTAACTTTTCAAGAGCTACAGTAAGTTTTAAAGGCCCTCAGCTTTGGAACGAGTTGCCAAACGTATTAAAAGAAATATCCACTGTTTTTACATTCAGGAAAAAATATAAATGTTATCTTCTTAATTGTGAGTAGTTTTGTTTTATCTAATTGCCTTTTATGTGATTTATGTAAATAATTATGTTGTGTTTGTATGTGATTATGCTATGTTATATTATCTGTTTGTTTGATTGTTTTTATTTTTTTATATTTTATATAATGTATTTCTTTTGAAGGGTGGAAATAAAGGGGATCAACCTTGACAGGCCAATGGCCTTTGTTGATCCCTCACATCCTCCACCCTTCATCCTTCTTTCATCAGTACAATGTAAATGAATGTTTTTTTGTTGTATATATTTATATTGTTTTAATTTATAATGATTTGTTTGTATATCTTTTGATGTGTTTTTAAAGTGATGTGAAATAAATTGAATACTTGAATACTTGAATTATTTTGCAGACCTATTAAGCCTTCAGTCGGCCTATGATCTCATAAGATTATTCCAAATTAATAGACTTAATTGATTTATCAAAAGTCTAAATATTGCTATAAAATCTAAAATTTATTCAGGGACAGGTCTAAGTAAGATGTACACATGTTTGAGAGACTGTAGACCCCTGGACTGTTCTTAAATAGCCTAGGATATAATCTGTAAGTTCTAGATTCATTGACGACGTGGACTTGGGGTTACATATTCGATAAATATTGATCTAGTTACAGTAACTTAGATCTAGTAACAGTAACTAAGATCTGGATTACTACTAACAGGAACAATATCAATTAAAAATCTTGGTAAGATATGGACTTAGAAGTTAGAAATATAGAGATTGAGCTAGATCTAGACTAGAGGTCCAGATGTAGTCTCTAATCTAACTAAGTTAGAGCTATTAAATCCCAATAATTTTGGTTCATTTCTAAATGACCCTTCATTTTATTGAACGAAATTACACCACTGTATTGGCCACAGGCATCATTCATTACTCATTTGTACCGACTTTTATTGACACTTTGTCGTCGTAATTTTCTCAACATTGCAGCCTCAAAGTATGTAGGCCTAGGCCCTAGAACAAGATAAACAAAGGAAATTTGGCGTAAAATATTGAAATCAAAGAGTTTTTAGCCTTGAAGACAAAGTGCATGGCTTATCCCCCCCCCCCCCCCCCCCCCATCAATTGCAGACCCAGTATCAGTACATACAGTCTGCTGCGCTAGCGGAAATGGCCGCATAAAGACAAGTACGTGGGGCTGTAGAAACGTAATTTGAGGCATAAGTGACACAAACAAGCTTATCAAATAGTTTTTACGTAAAGATCTGGAGAATTACCTAACATATATTATAATTGTTCTTGTTAGGAAGAAATCTCATGAATTATTACACTTCTACTCACCTTTCAGAAACAGAAGAAGAAGCTAGACTTTGATCGTGTGACGATATTCGCCGGTTCGTAAGACCGCGCTGCAATAAACATCGGTCAGAATTGCGTCGAATAGCTATATTCGCCGGTTCGTAAGAACGCGCAATGCTATTCGTCGTTCATAACAAACTATTAAAAATGACATAACTCTCAAAATAAAGCGATTTGAGGAATAATTTTTTTTTCTCAAGATAGATTCGGACATACACTATCCAAATATACGAAAATGTCCAAATTAATTTTTCGACCCGAATTTGGGCTATTCGCCGGTTCGTCAGACCGACGACGATATACCCCTTTTCGCTCTCTCTCACATATACCCCCTTTTCTCTCGCTCTCACATATACCCCCATTTCACTCGCTCTCACATATACCCCCTTTTCTCTCTCTCTCACATATACCCCCTTTTCGCTCTCTCTCACATATACCCTCTTTTCACTCTCTCTCACATATACCCCCTTTTCTCTCTCTCTCTCACATATACCCCCTTTTCGCTCTCTCTCACATATACCCCCTTTTCTCTCGCTCTCACATATACCCCCTTTTCTCTCTCTCTCACATATACCCCCTTTTCTCTCGCTCTCACATATACCCCCTTTTCACTCTCTCTCACATATACCCTCTTTTCTCTCTCTCTCACATATACCCCCTTTTCTCTCTCTCTCACATATACCCCCATTTCTCTCTCTCTCACATATACCCCCTTTTCTCTCGCTCTCTCTCACATATACCCCCTTTTCTCTCTCTCTCTCTCACATATACCCCCATTTCTCTCTCTCTCTCACATATACCCCCTTTTCTCTCTCTCTCTCACATATACCCCCTTTTCTCTCTCTCTCTCACATATACCCCCTTTTCTCTCGCTCTCTCTCACATATACCCCCATTTCTCTCTCTCTCACATATACCCCCTTTTCTCTCTCTCTCTCATATACCCCCTTTTCTCTCTCGCTCTCTCACATATACCCCCATTTCTCTCTCTCTCACATATACCCCCTTTTCTCTCTCTCTCACATATACCCCCTTTTCTCTCTCTCTCTCACATATACCCCCTTTTCTCTCTCTCTCACATATACCCCCATTTCACTCTCTCTCACATATACCCCCTTTTCTCTCTCTCTCACATATACCCCCTTTTCTCTCGCTCTCTGTCACATATACCCTCTTTTCGCTCTCTCTCACATATACCCCCTTTTCACTCTCTCTCACATATACCCCCTTTTCTCTCTCTCTCTCACATATACCCCCTTTTCTCTCTCTCTCTCACATATACCCCCTTTTCTCTCTCTCTCACATATACCCCCTTTTCTCTCTCTCTCACATATACCCCCTTTTCTCTCTCTCTCACATATACCCCCATTTCACTCTCTCTCACATATACCCCCTTTTCTCTCTCTCTCACATATACCCCCTTTTCACTCTCTCTCACATATACCCCCATTTCACTCTCTCTCACATAATACCCCCTTTTCTCTCGCTCTCTCTCACATATACCCCCTTTTCACTCTCTCTCACATATACCCTCTTTTCTCTCTCTCTCACATATACCCCCTTTTCTCTCTCTCTCACATATACCCCCATTTCTCTCTCTCTCACATATACCCCCTTTTCTCTTGCTCTCTCTCACATATACCCCCTTTTCTCTCTCTCTCTCACATATATACCCCCTTTTCTCTCTCTCTCTCACATATACCCCCATTTCTCTCTCTCTCACATATACCCTCTTTTCTCTCGCTCTCTCTCACATATACCCTCTTTTCTCTCGCTCTCTCTCACATATACCCCCTTTTCTCTCTCTCTCTCACATATACCCCCATTTCTCTCTCTCTCACATATACCCTCTTTTCTCTCGCTCTCTCTCACATATACCCTCTTTTCTCTCGCTCTCTCTCACATATACCCCCTTTTCTCTCGCTCTCTCTCACATATACCCCCATTTCTCTCTCTCTCACATATACCCCCATTTCTCTCTCTCTCTCACATATACCCCCTTTTCTCACTCGCTCTCACATATACCCCCTTTTCTCTCTCTCTCTCACATATACCCCCTTTTCTCTCTCGCTCTCTCACATATACCCCCATTTCTCTCTCTCTCTCACATATACCCCCTTTTCGCTCTCTCTCACATATACCCCCTTTTCGCTCTCTCTCACATATACCCCCTTTTCACTCTCTCTCACATATACCCTCTTTTCTCTCTCTCTCACATATACCCCCTTTTCTCTCTCTCTCACATATACCCCCATTTCTCTCTCTCTCACATATACCCCCTTTTCTCTTGCTCTCTCTCACATATACCCCCTTTTCTCTCTCTCTCTCACATATACCCCCTTTTCTCTCGCTCTCTCTCACATATACCCTCTTTTCTCTCGCTCTCTCTCACATATACCCCCTTTTCTCTCGCTCTCTCTCACATATACCCCCATTTCTCTCTCTCTCACATATACCCCCTTTTCTCTCGCTCTCTCTCACATATACCCCCTTTTCTCTCTCTCTCTCACATATACCCCCTTTTCTCTCGCTCTCTCTCACATATACCCCCTTTTCGCTCTCTCTCTCTCACATATACCCCCTTTTTGCTCTCTCTCTCTCACATATACCCCCTTTTCTCTCTCTCTCTCTCACATATACCCCCTTTTCTCTCTCTCTCTCTCACATATACCCCCTTTTCTCTCTCTCTCTCACATATACCCCCTTTTCTCTCTCTCTCTCTCACATATACCCCCTTTTCTCTCTCTCTCTCACATATACCCCCTTTTCACTCTCTCTCACATATACCCCCTTTTCACTCTCTCTCACATATACCCTCTTTTCTCTCTCTCTCACATATACCCCCTTTTCTCTCTCTCTCACATATACCCCCATTTCTCTCTCTCTCACATATACCCCCTTTTCTCTCGCTCTCTCTCACATATACCCCCTTTTCTCTCTCTCTCACATATACCCCCTTTTCTCTCTCTCTCACATATACCCCCATTTCTCTCTCTCTCACATATACCCCCTTTTCTCTCGCTCTCTCTCACATATACCCCCATTTCTCTCTCTCTCACATATACCCCCTTTTCACTCTCTCTCACATATACCCCCTTTTCTCTCTCTCTCACATATACCCCCTTTTCTCTCTCTCTCTCACATATACCCCCTTTTCTCTCTCTCTCACATATACCCCCTTTACTCTCGCTCTCTCTCACATATACCCTCTTTTCGCTCTCTCTCACATATACCCCCTTTTCACTCTCTCTCACATATACCCCCTTTTCTCTCTCTTTCACATATACCCCCTTTTCTCTCTCTCTCTCACATATACCCCCTTTTCACTCTCTCTCACATATACCCCCTTTTCACTCTCTCTCTCATATACCCCCTTTTCTCTCTCTCTCTCACATATACCCCCTTTTCGCTCTCTCTCACATATACCCCCTTTTCTCTCTCTCTCACATATACCCCCTTTTCTCTCTCTCTCTCACATATACCCCCTTTTCTCTCTCGCTCTCTCACATATACCCCCATTTCTCTCTCTCTCTCACATATACCCCCTTTTCTCTCTCGCTCTCACATATACCCCCTTTTCTCTCTCTCTCACATATACCCCCTTTTCGCTCTCTCTCACATATACCCCCTTTTCGCTCTCTCTCACATATACCCCCTTTTCACTCTCTCTCACATATACCCTCTTTTCTCTCTCTCTCACATATACCCCCATTTCTCTCTCTCTCACATATACCCCCTTTTCTCTTGCTCTCTCTCACATATACCCCCTTTTCTCTCTCTCTCTCACATATACCCCCTTTTCTCTCGCTCTCTCTCACATATACCCTCTTTTCTCTCGCTCTCTCTCACATATACCCCCTTTTCTCTCGCTCTCTCTCACATAATTATACCCCCATTTCTCTCTCTCTCACATATACCCCCTTTTCTCTCGCTCTCTCTCACATATACCCCCTTTTCTCTCTCTCTCTCTCACATATACCCCCTTTTCTCTCTCTCTCTCTCACATATACCCCCTTTTCTCTCTCTCTCTCTCACATATACCCCCTTTTCTATCTCTCTCTCTCACATATACCCCCTTTTCTCTCTCTCTCACATATACCCCCTTTTCACTCTCTTTCACATATACCCCCTTTTCACTCTCTCTCACATATACCCTCTTTTCTCTCTCTCTCACATATACCCCCTTTTCTCTCTCTCTCACATATACCCCCATTTCTCTCTCTCTCACATATACCCCCTTTTCTCTCGCTCTCTCTCACATATACCCCCTTTTCTCTCTCTCTCTCTCACATATACCCCCTTTTCTCTCGCTCTCTCTCACATATACCCCCATTTCTCTCTCTCTCACATATACCCCCTTTTCACTCTCTCTCACATATACCCCCTTTTCACTCTCTCTCACATATACCCCCTTTTCACTCTCTCTCACATATACCCCCTTTTCACTCTCTCTCACATATACCCCCTTTTCTCTCTCTCACATATACCCCCTTTTGACTCTCTCTCACACATATACCCCCTTTTCTCTCTCTCTCACATATACCCCCATTTCACTCTCTCTCACATATACCCCCTTTTCACTCTCTCTCACATATACCCTCTTTTCTCTCTCTCTCTCACATAATACCCCCTTTTCTCTCTCTCTCACATATACCCCCATTTCTCTCTCTCTCACATATACCCCCTTTTCTCTCGCTCTCTCTCACATATACCCCCTTTTCTCTCTCTCTCTCTCTCACATATACCCCCTTTTCTCTCGCTCTCTCTCACATATACCCCCATTTCTCTCTCTCTCACATATACCCCCTTTTCACTCTCTCTCACATATACCCCCTTTTCACTCTCTCTCACATATACCCCCTTTTCTCTCTCTCTCACATATACCCCCTTTTCACTCTCTCTCACATATACCCCCTTTTCTCTCTCTCTCACATATACCCCCTTTTCACTCTCTCTCACATATACCCCCTTTTCTCTCTCTCACATATACCCCCTTTTCACTCTCTCTCACATATACCCCCTTTTCTCTCTCTCTCACATATACCCCCATTTCGCTCTCTCTCACATATACCCCCTTTTCGCTCTCTCTCACATATACCCCCTTTTCACTCTCTCTCACATATACCCCCTTTTCACTCTCTCTCACATATACCCCCTTTTCACTCTCTCTCACATATACCTCCTT